TAAAGCTGACTAAAGCAACAATTCAATTCCAGATTCCGCCCACTGTTTTTTATAGTACGGTTGTTCTGACTAAATGAGGTTTATCATTTGTATGAAACAAAAATGAGCTAACTGAGCCAAATTGCATAGCCACTGAATAGTTAAATTTTAAATTAAATTGCTTCCTGAGAGCAGTTTTTAGTACCAATCCACATTTTTCCCCTGCTGAGTTTTATGTTTTGTTTTGCAAGACAGTATGTGTCTATAAATATAAAGGTTCGCTTTTAAGGATGCTGATGCAACTGTTTATAATCTTTACTCAGAGCCCGAGTATTAAATGGCCACATCTACCTTCTGCTAAGATGCTAGATGCTTTTCTTGTCCATTGTAGAAATTATTTAGCATAAGCCACTCTTTTGCCTCCCTTTCTCTTCTTTTCTATCTCTATGCCCTCCTTCTCCACACAAAAATATTTCAATACAGACAAGATTCATCAGCCCCAACTTAGGCATCTAAAAAATATCTGAACTGGAGCTTTGTCACCCTACGCTCCCCTCAAGCATTAAGTTTGATCAGATTAATTACTTTTGGCAGTACTCACATATGTATATTTATAGTAAAAGAAGAGGGTTGCTAGCTCAATCTTATAAGACTGACTAAACCCAGCATGCCTAAAGCTAGGTGAGATGAATCTGACCTCAGGATTCATATTATTATCCTTTAAAACAACAAAAAGAAGGAGGAACAGAAAGTATGGGGAACAAAAATTACTCATCTGCCTAGATACCTAAAGAAAACTCTTAGAATCACTTACAAGAAAGACTGCTCTATATCGTTCCTAAATAATACACTCAACTTCATGACCACAGCAGACGAAAATGCCAGTTATGTTTAGCTCTAGGCCCTAGACCGTACTTTTTTTTTTTTTTAAATAATTTTATACACTGGAGCAATCAATTCACAAATGCATGTTAGTTGTAACAGTACTCGCTAAGGGTACCAACTATCTCATGCCCTGTGATGATAATTCATAGTAAAATCATACAGTTTAAGAGGGTAACATGGAGAATATCCCAGGCGTCTTTTTTTCTTTTAGAATTCACAGCTTCCTTTGAACAGACGAAAGTTAGATTACGTTTCTTGTTTTAGACAGGAACTGTGCAAGTCTCGTCACAGTAACATATCAATGTTTGTGCAAAGCAAGGAAAGACTGCTGTTGAAGGGTGTTTAATATTGCCTGGCATGAGTTAGTTTCCCAAGCCTTATGCTGGTGAGCAGCCAGCCAGCCCACTTTTTTTTCTTACTGATCAGCTCCTTTTGGTCTTGTGCTTACAGAATACATGGGGTGCATTTATACTTCATTTGCTACCTATTGGATCCACCAATGCCAAAACACCCTCTGCCCTGCCCACCTGTCAGTCACAGGACCACTGGATGTCTAGCAGCGGTACTGCGGGAGCCAGAAATGCACTGGCTCAGGCCACACTGTGGCCTCACCATGGGTGGGCAGATCCCATCTTAAAGCAGGAAAATGGTGGAAAAACAAACAGAAAGAATTGTACTTGTTGAAAGACTTAAAAGCGTGGAAACCTAGCACCCAACTCCCCTTCTCTTACCTAAAACCAACAATTGGACATTCTTTACAGATGTTGCACTTGGCCTGATGTTTTGCTGTTTCTGCAGCTGCCACGCGGTGTAGAACTGGTAGCCATACCATAGACTGTGGCTCTAAGCGCATCCAATCTATAAATTGCTTTACAGTTATTTCTGGTTTATTGTTGTTCTGTGGAGAGAAAAAAAACCCACATCCAAATGAAAACAACAAACAAAACCCACACAGACAGAAGCAGATTTTCCTTAGAATTCAATTAAAAAAAAACAACCTGTGTCAATCCTTCCCATGCCAGGTTAATGTAAAACCAGTTACAGGATACAAGAAACAACCTCAATTAAAATGCAAATAAAGGAAACAAGTTAGTCAGTAAGAACACAGAGGACTAAACAGCTGTGACAGAGGAGACAGATGGTAACAAAGACAGCGGACATAGTAAAGGAGTAATGGATTCCATAGTAAAGCCATCTTTGAACTGAACGGACTTGAGAAAGAAGGGAAGCGTTCTGCAGTTCAGACACACTAAAGACATAGTTGTCTTTTTAACTAAGATCAATGCAAGACCGCTCAAAATCAGTAGTGCTTGCGTGTGTCTACTAATTGCCATGAGATTCATGCAATTTTTTTTATCGTATTCTGAACCCATGGTATTCTTTCAAGTTAGCACATTAAAAAAACACACAAATAAATAAAGAGGTAAATAAATAAATAATGAGAGAGAAAGAAATCTGCAACTTATAGGCAATCACTGCAAGAATACAGCAGAGCTAAAGTATTAGTATGATTGTTTTAAGAAGCAAACATGCTTCCACATTCTCTTTCAGTTGTAACCACCAGAGAAGCCTAGCTGTAAAGGTACTATATTCATCAACTTTGTCAGCAATAACAACAGAGGTCATTTTTCTGAGCTCACTGGAAGTGATAGAAGACAATTTAAAATGAAAGTTATTCTTAAATGGTAACACATGACAAGAAGCAACACTAGGCTTCTTAACCTATTCACAGTCCAAGTCGATTTTTGCCAGTAAGAGGGAGCAGCATGAAAAAAAGAATAACATGCTTTCCCCACCAGCAAAATACTTTTTTCACTAGGCTGAGATAACTGTCAGGCAGCTGCACACTTTCTCTATGCTCTCTTAATGACCAGGGACTGAACTTGAGCTATTCATGTGAGACAAGAGATGCAACCTCATCATCAGTATAATCGTATCACATGAAGTATTTAAACACCACCTTGCTAGTACCCCTCACCCATAATTGAACAGCATGGGAGATGGGGCAGATCCTTGAGAGACATAAAGATCATTCCTCCGTGACAGAAAAAGTCTGCCACTAACAAATGAATAATTTATTTCAGCATGACTTGAACCTCTTGAGGCCAGTGACAGATACGTCAAGCACCATTCCTTATTGTCTGAAGCAGCAATGTTAAAACCTCAGGGGAAGTTTTACATGGTTAATTGGTCAAACCAACTTCCATAAGTATCTACCAAATTATTCATGATCTGGACAAACACTCAAAACTGTCAATTCCAATCATCTCAGAGTCCAGAAATGAATCTAATAGTTCTGAAAAAAGCTAACACAACTGAATCTTTCAAAGCACTGGATGAAAATATAGAAATGTCTGTGAAAGGATGGCAAAAGAAAAATGCTCTAAAAGTTCACTATAACATTTAATGTTTGAACCAATAAAATCAGAAATATTAAAGTCAGTAGTTTTATATATGCCACAGTGAATTTTTAATCCATATATAATTTCTGACAATGCTCAAAGCAGTCACTTTCACAGAAATAATACACTCAAGCAGTATAGTTATCACTAGCAAACAGTCGGAGCCTTAGGCATCCTTGACAAAGTCTGAATTAAGCTGTGTTCCATTACAACATCCTCTTTTTAATTCTCATCTTCTTTAAGCAGACAGACGCTCCTTGCAGCCTCATTAACCCCCTGCATGTAGTGTGGAGCTGAACAGCAGGCTCTAAGACAGCTTTATTCCATGTTCTGATCTGTTGCATAAAGGCTCACGATATATAAATGACTATGCTTGAAGTTTCGTGCAACTGCAAGCTCTTTTGTCAGCAAAATAATGCTAAATAATTTCCTGATGCACAAGGTCAAAAATTACTACCAACATCATTCTCTTGTTCTGTTGAGATCATGACTTGTTCCAGCAGAGAAAAGCACGTTGTTCTCACAGTATCAGGTTGCTTTGAACGATGCAAAGCAAGATAATTGGCTGCTACAAAATTTTTTTAACAGCTTTTAGAGCAGCCAATATTGCCAAACCCACGAAGATTTATATATTCTTTTTGCTAAAAAGTAATTTGTTTGATCCTCTCCTAAACTATAAACCATCTTTCACAGCTGCATTTTCACAATAACTTCCCACATTTAATCGCAGGAGCATATTCATTTCTGTTCAAAAGCTCAATGGATGTTTTTAAATTCCTCTCTTCTTTTTACACTGTGTAAAAGTGAATCTTACGACCTCAAAGAGAAGGTTTTTTTCACATGAAGGTCTTCGTTATCTTACCTGTTGGAAGCAGCTGCGCACGCTGGGTTCAATGTTGCTGCCACCGAAGGCTGCCACCTCCCCAAGCTGCCGCGGGATCTGGATAGCATCGTGAAGCAGCAGGCCCAGCTGCCTTTGGTCGCACATTTCTGTGGGGCCTGCCACTTCCTTGAAGAGATCTGCAACAGCGACAAGAGGCACCGGCTCATTTCATTTCCATGTACACCCCCTTTTATTCAGTAATGCTGCAGCTCAAGCTTTATAACTTTTGTAATCCAGATGTGGTTACAGATGGCCACTGTCCCATTTACAATAGTTTACCCTCATCTAATCTTGATTACTTTGACTACGTTTTCTTGATCTGTAACCATACAAATGAGAAAAGTAAGGTCAAATGAATGAAACTATACAGCTTCCTATGGCATCTCTTGACAAAACTGTACATTGCAGCTCTTGTTTTACCTAGGAGCAGCTGTGTGACAAAACAAAAGAGACATCACAAAATCAGAACAGCTTTTTGTTCTAATCCATCATTACCACATTGTCCCCCGAATATTTACTAAGTTTTCTATGTTATCACTAGGGATAGAAGGGAAGAAGGAAATAATATTTCAGAAATCCGTATCTTGTGCTAAAATCTATGCCATGCTTTGGTTGGTTGGGGACAGAACACATTTGCTCTGAACTCAGACTAGAAATTACCACAAGTCACAGCTGGCCATGTGAAATAGCTTAAAGCAAGAGCAGCAGCCAGCAAGACAACTCGTGCTTAACATTAATCACATTTGCTTCCTCGATAACCATGTGTGCTTCCACCTACTTTCCCTTTACTGATTCCCTTTTCCTAAGGTAGGTGTCAAGCCCTGCAGTATAAGCGGACGTTCTGGGATGACTGTAAGGACAGAAAAAATTGAGGCTGAAAGGATCAAGAAAATTGTTCCAGATACAGACACTTACTGGGAAGAAAGATATTACTTGTACCCACTTAAAGGTCACAGTAAAGCATTGAATTAATAGGCCTGTCTGCAGCACAGATAATATTTCTTAAGTGCTTTCTTAACACATTTCTTTGATTGGACATTTTTAATTGTTAAAACTTCCAACCAAAATTTTTAACATGTTTCTGCCAACAATACTTGATTTATGAACTTTGTAGCTGTGTATATTAATATTTAGTCACAAGATTAATCTCTCCTGAAAATATCTTAAACGCTGAGTTTATCTTAGAAATATTTTTAAATTCTGCGATTGGTATAAATTACAGAAGAAATGGAAGTGAATTCTTTGTGTTCATTCCAGTTGGCTTTTACATTCTCCTTTTGCACTCAGAGGCCGGCTTGGATTAAAACTCCAAGTAATCTTAAAAGAAAAAAAAAAAATCCATTTATACTATTCCTCTACTTTTCATGTTTTCTACTAGAACAACCATTAATAGATTAGAAACAAATGAAATTTGAAAATTCAGTCTGACTGCACTTCTGATTGAGAAACAGACAAGCTTTGTTCAGAAACACTCAAGAGAAACTGTTTTATTACACTCTGTAAATTGTTTTGCCCTTCATTTGGAGCAACTGTCAAGCTTTGTCAGCGTGCTTCAGAAAGTCTGGTCATACTTTTTTTCTTGGCAAAGGAAGTTGAGGTGGAAGAAAGGATTTTCACAAAATAGAAATCCAGATGACTAAATTAATTTTTAGGAGTTTCTTGTATTTTTCTCGCCCCTTTCTTGCCTAGTCAAACAAATGCTACAGCATCTTCAGCGCTCAGTGGTGAGAAAAAAACCCCACAGACAACAGCGGTGACAGAACTAGTACTGCACAGCTGCAGGCTTATCTTGGCAGTCCCAGATCCTGGGTAGCTTCTTCAGCTGCGGTTGGGATAGATTTCCAGTTTCTAAGAGTCAGTTTAAAAAACCTGATAGGATTAAAAAAAAAAAAAAAAGTCTGCTTTATTCTTTCTACAGTGGAATCAGGCAGTAAAAGAAGAACAATTCATAAACTGCTGTAGCTGGGAGGAAGATGAAGTAATTTTCCAAACCCTAAACCTTCAGTTGATTGGGGAGCTAGTAAATAGAGGAAAAACGATGTGGCAGGGGAGGGGGTAGGGGAAGGTATCA